CAACCTTGGCAACTTTAAGACCTGGGGACTTCAACTCCCAGAGTTCCTCAGCCAACTGAGGAGCTCTGGGAGTTGAAGTCCACAAGTCTTAAAGTGGCCAAGGTTGGAGACCACTGCCCTACAGTATTGACAGCAAGAAAAGAAACTGCAGCTGTAGTTGTTTTATGTCACACACTGTTAAGACCCCCGTGAAACTTTCCTGGCTACTCCTATCACCCAGTTTGAAAGAAAGAAAAAGTCTCTGTGAAGTTGGATATTTTTTAGATTTTTTTTTTAAGAAGAGGGGTGGGGGATCAACCTATTTCCCAAAGCATCTGAAGGGACAACAAGAAACAATGGAAGGAAACTAATCAAGGAGAGAAGCAACCTAGAACTGAGGAGAAATTTCCTGACAATTAGAACAAACAAATAATCAATGGAGCAGCTTGCCTCCAGAAGTTGGGAATGCTCCAACACTGGAGGTTTTTAAGAAGAGATTGGATAACCATTTGTCTGAAATGGTGTAGGGTTTCTGCTTCGGCAGGGGGTTGGACTGCTAGAAGATCTCCAAGGTCCTTTCCAAGTCTGTTATTCTATTCTGTTCTGTTCTGTTCTGTTCTGTTCTGTTCTGTTCTATTCTATTCTATTCTATTCTATTCTATTCTAAGGCAACATTCAAAACAGATCATGGAGAGGATGTGTAAAATCCCTGAAAATACCGTGGACCCTGGTCAAGCAATGCTTATATATGGATAGAAGGAAGTAAAGTCCAATAATCAACTTACAACAGTTTATTTAGTGACTGTTTAAAGTTACAATGGCATTGAAAAAGTGACTAAAGACCATTTTTCACATGTATGATCATTGTAACACCCGAGTCATGTGATCAAAATTCAGACTTGACAACTGACTCATATTTATAACCATTGCAGTGACCCCAGGGTCAGGTGATCACCTTTTGCAACCTTCTGATGAGCAAAGTCAATGGGGAAGCCAGATTCACTTAAATGCGTCACTAATTTAACAACTGCAGTAATTCACTTAACAACTGGGGCAAAAAGGTCATAAAATGGTCTCAAATATTTCAATTAGCAACATATATTTTGGGCTCAATTGTGGTTGTAAGTCAAGGACTATCTGTACTAATTTAACAACTGCAGTGATTTACTTAACAACTTTAGCAAGAAAGTTTGTAAAATGGGGCAAAACTCACTTAACAAATGTCTCACTCAGCAACAGAATTTTTTTGGCTCAACTGTGGTCGTAAGTTGAGGACTACCTGTATTGGTATAATTACATTGATTTCTTACTCTATGTTTACAACGTAATTCATTTGTTTCTATATCCTGTCTAATCATCAAAAGCATTGCTTTGTTTCATAATTTTGGAATTGTCAGCTATCCAGAATCATTCGGTTGAGTTGGGCAGCTATAGAATTTGGATTGAAGAAATAAATAAACCAGAAGTTCCTTTTTCCCTATTTCACACAAAAAGTCTATGAAGGATTTCCAGTCAGCAATAAATGTAGATATTTATTGCTGACCAAAGAAGTCAATTTAGCTATCTCAGCAAGTCTGGTTGGCTCAGGAATTCTGGGAGTTGAAATCCACAGGTCGTTAAAGGAAGGGACATAATTGCCCAGCCCTGCTTTAAAGCTACTGTTCCACAAACTGACCTAGGAGTGAGAAAAATAAGTGTCCATAGAACTCAAGTTTAATTAAATGGTAAAAAAAATTGAATGGTAAAATTTTGCAACACGTTCAGAACAAATGTAATTATTTTGTGAGATTGGGAAATTTAAAACAGATAGTCCTTGATTTATGGAGTGCCCATTATGGTTGTAAATTTTGATGGTTGTAAAGCAAGTTACCCACCTGACTGACCCAATTTTACTGCCAGGTTTCCAAAAAATGCCCCAATTTATTCATGAATCTCGAGCCAAATTTCAAAAGAAAAATAGACATTTATTAGGAGCATTTATTTTGGCAAGACCTTTTGCAGTCAGATCTGAACCTTATTTGAATTATATCTGAATTTTACCCCTGTTCCTTCCCTCCCCTCAGTCTGTGTCATAAATCACAGTCCCCAATGAGGTGCACCCCTACCAAGTCTGTTGCGGTAATCTGAGATCCGACTCTAGCCAGAAGTACAGTATGTGTGGAATGTGCTCCCTCACTTTTCTCACCATGGCAACTTTAGGAGTTAACATTTACAACTTTTTTCGCATTGGTCATTAAGCAAATATTGCAGTCATTAAGTGAACCCATTAAGTGAACCCATTGTTTGCTGGTTTTCAGCACAAACATCGTAAGACACAGTTACGTGCCATAAATGTGGGCTGGTTGCTGAGCATTCAAAATGTGGTCATGTGACCATGGGGGGGGGGAGAGAGAATGCCTGTCAGAACTTCAGAACTGGGTCACAAGTACCTCTGAGGAGGTCCATCATAACTTTGAATGGTTATTTGTATTTGTATTTGTATTTGGTTTATTTGTATGCCGCCCTTCTCCAGGAGGGACTCAGCACGGCGAACAACTCAAAGGGGAAAGGGAACATAAACAACAGTACACATAATTAAAATACACGAAAATCACACAGCCATACCAGTCGAGAGGGGAGGGGAACTCATCAACCCCAGGCNCTGAGGAACTCTGGGAGTTGAAGTCCACAGGTCTTAAAGTTGCCAAGGTTGGTGACCACTGGTTTACACTATTATGTAAAAGTATAAAGTTAAGGTTTAGTGTTACTTCTTATTCTACTGCACCAAAGGGACTCTTTTCTTTCTTTTTCCCTTCTTCTCTACACTTTTCTCTTCCCCTTTCCCTCCCCTATTTTTCCTATTATTTGCTTTTGTATTTTATATTTTATATTATTAAAGTAGTAAAAAGACAGAAAAGAGATACATAGATTCAGAAGCAATAGGTGCATTGCTAGAAGACCTGAGAGCCGGACTGAGCAATGATCTTTCGGGAGAAAAACGATTTACATGCCACTTACCTTCTTTTGTGGCATTGCTGGTTGTGGAAGCGGTTGCTGCTGTCCCACCAGGACGTCCCACTGGACTGGCATGCTTCCCGGCCCTCCCAGGAATTTTAAGTCCACTTGGCTTCAACATCTTTGCCCAGGTTTGCACCTCAAGGTACGAGAATCCTTTGGTCCTGTGATTGGTTGCCGAGTGCCGCAGGTTCAAGCATCTAAGTGATACATCCCTTCATCTACCTTGAGAGACCTGAAGAAATTGACCAACATCCAAACAGAAAATATATATTTTATATAAGTGAAATGTTTGCAGCAACAAAAAAAGGAAAGAAAAACACTTCATTTATAAACTCTTGCTTGAGACGGGATTGAATTATTTGCTCCCAAAATAGAGTACATTAAATTAAATTTAAGTTTATGTAAAGAGTATGGGATTGTCTTATTTCATAACAACCAGCCAATAGGTTAGCTACAGATTTTGGATGACGCCTCCCTTATTTGATCTTTAGCCATACAAAAGACAAGCCTTTCTAAGAAATATTTTGTGTATTCCCATTATGCTGTTTTTGTAAGCAGCTATTCCAAAGTACATTAATCTCCAAATGGACCTCACCTATACTCTATCTGGAACTTTAAAGCTTAGAAGTAGAACCACTTTAATAAAATTAAGCCCTTAAAAGAGGCAAGCCCTTTTTGAAATGTACTTGCTTTATCGTTTGATCTGGTCTGTCTAGTTTTCTCTACAAACATGTCACTAACTAGGAATCCCACCAGTTTTTTTTCATGACAGATCAGCCTATATTCAAGTATTTGACTCATGGTTTAATTGCTTCCTGCCTCAGCTACTGCAATCTCTGCCTTTGTGACATGATGAAATACTTGGGAAACTCCGGGATTTTTCTTCTGACTAGGAAACTCCTTATTGCTACATTTCTCAAGCTTGTAAAAAAAAGCCGTAATTTCTATTTTTTTTCTCTTGCCCCTTTTCCAGGGTCCTTGGCTATTGTTAAATTTCTCTATTATATATAGAAATGTATTTTTAATTAAATATTTTTTTTAAAAAAGGAAGACAAAAACTAACAAACAAATATACAGCAACTTATGAAAAATAAATCAAAGAGAAATTGCAACAAAGGGTGGGGGGGGGAATAAAAGAAAAATGGGGAAAAAAGAAAAAGGATACAAAGAAATGGCTTCCGATTTCCTTTACAGCAGTATAAAATTAAGGTAACCTTTATTGTCATTTTCCTATAAACACAATCACATACATGAACATGAAATTCGGATGCACCGTTCCTCAAAAGAAGGAATGCCACCTATCAAACAATGCCACCATCCCAATAATAACAGTAATAGTCATCTAACAGCAGCATCCAAAAATGCCAAGTTATACAAATATATATATACACATACACCTATGCACACATACACACACAAAGAGAGAGACACAGAACTATTACAGAATCCAGTTCTGCTTCGGATACCACAAAGTCTCCTCCCAGAAGGGATAGAATCAAGATCACGTGAAGTGTTAATANACTTCAGTAACAGAATGGTCAATGCCTGGAATGCACTATCTGACACTGTGGTTTCTTCCCCAAACTCCCCAAACTTTAACATTAGACTACTGTTGACCTCACCTGATTCCTAAGAGGTCTTTAAGGGGCACTCATAAGCAGCACCAGTGTGCCTATCGTCCCTGTCCTAATATTCCCTTGTATTCGTATCCATTTCATGTATTCACAACCACGTTTATGCTTATATCTGTTATCTAATTCATGCTTGACGAAATAAATAAAATAAAGAAAAAAATGAAAACGGGCAGCTTAAGGAAGCAATTAATAGCAATAGCACTTAGTTATATACCGCTTCCCAGTGCTTTACAACTCTCTCTAAGCAGTTTACAGAGTCAGCGTATTGCCCCCAACAATCTGGGTCCTCATTTTACCCACTTCGGAAAGATGGAAGGCTGAGTCAACCTTGAGCCTGGTGGGATTTGAACTGCCAAATTGCAGGTAGACGACAGTCAGAAGAAGCAGCCTGCAGTATGGCACTCTAACCACTGCCCCACCATGGCTCATTAACAAGGAGATATTCCCCCCCCACACACAGACACACAATGTATAGATCACCACCAACAGAAATTTGGGTCTGGTTTGGGGAAACAGAGCAAGAGCTAGCAAACAGTTCCCTTTGCAAAGTTCTGCTTGTTTTTAGAGGAACACTAAGAGAGCTTGCACACTTACCTAATGTGGGGAGGCTCAAATGCACTGGGGTATTATCACTCAACATCTTAAGAACCTCAAAAGTAATGCCCTCCAGGCACCGCTGTTCCTTTTCCCCAGATATCCCTGCCCTCCAACAGGCAGACACTACATGAAATCAGTTGCGCTACAGGAAATCAGTTGAGGGAATCAACCGACCGCAGATCCATTTGGATGCTTGCAAGAGCAATAGATATTTTTTTTTGGCTCTCTCCTTTTATAAACAGGAAATGGGAATGCAAAAAAAAAGGAATGTCAAAGTAACGGCAACAGGACTTTGGGAACTTAAGCATTTGTATAGACATGTCAAGCAAGGGAGAAAAATTCAAGTTTTTCCTTCCCAACATTAAAAAAAAAGGAATGTTTTAAGCCCTAACAATAAATGCACTGTAAAGAAGAGACAATATGGACCATGCTGATGAGTTGAAAAATGCGTTGCATTACTGTTACAGATTGCTCAGAACAAATTCAACATCTGCCTCTTGAATACTGACTTCTAGATATTTTCTTTTAAACACAAATAGACAAGCTCCTCCTTTGCCAATGACTCAGTGCTAAATTCGGCAGGTCTAGACAGGCTGAAACCTTCCTAAAAATGTTAATTTTTTTGTTGTTTTCCTATTTGTGGTATCTCTTTTTTTTTTAAAAGAACTAAATGGAAGAACAAAATTAATTCATGATTTTAAAGCCACTATCACTTGTTATAAAAAACCAAATTCTTCTTATAAATTGCTTTTCTCCAGCCCTGTTGTAGGAAGTAAATAATTAAAATAAACAAACAAGAATGTAAAAAAATACACACCCAGCATAATAAAGATTTTGGGAAGAGGGTCAGGGACTCATTTAAAAGTAACAGAGTTACTTTTAAATGAGTATATAGCATTTACTATATTTTAAATTGGGAACATCCTCCAACATAGGCTACAAGGCACAGCATTTTATAAGATTTAATTGCATCACAACAGTCATGTTTTACTTCAGACTCATCAATAAACCTTTCTCATTCTCAAGATTAAAAGCAGACTTCCATAAATCAGCTTCCTAAATGTTTGAGATGAGAGCTACTAATGGGCAAACTCTAGACTAAACATAGTAAGTTATCAACTGCTACTTTTTTCTTTCTATTTCTTCCACTATTTTTCTTTAGCATGAAAAGAATGTGTTAAGAAAGAAATAGCTGCACACTCTTTTTTAATTCATAGTGCAAAGAGCAATTGCGTTATTTAGGAGACAAATCGGAGGAGTCCTCTCCTTTTTTTAAAAAAAGTATGATAATTAACCCTAATTAATAAGATGATATCATAATCCGAAAAGCATATAATATACTAAAAATCCTTGGTACGCTCTGATCTTGCCTATTTTCTGGAGGAATTTGCAGGATTAGCCAGGATTGGGTATTGTGATGTCCAATTGGCCTCGAGACAGAGTTAAAACTGAAGCCACGCCTCTGTGCTCCTTGCTTCTGGTTCCCAGTTTCAACTCTGTCTGGCCGAAGGACAAGTTGCTTTTGGTTCCTGAAAATCCAAAAAACAATCCGGTGCCATCCTGCATTTTCCTCCTCCCTGCCTTCCCCCTTGTGCCTCCATCTGGTTCCTGGAAGCCTCCCTTTGGTGTGGTTCGCTCCGGGCCGCCGGTATGGGTTTTAAACTTGTTGTTGGGTCTTTTAGAGGCTGGACGCCATTACGGCGGTCATTTTGGGCATGTTGAGAAGAGCCGCATAGGCTGAGGCCGCTACAGGGCATTGATCTCATCTTTGCCATCCGGGGGGCAATCCCTTCCACAGCGGCAGCTGCGAAGAGGCTCGGCGGGCCCAGAGCAAGGCCAAGAGCCCTGGAGCAGCGTGGGACGATGGAGATTGCGCATCGTGCCGCATTGTGCTGCCAGCAGCCGTGCAGCTTGAAAAGGGGCCGGAAAGGTCTACCGGCGGCTGCAATCGTCGCATGGAGGTCGTAAGTGACTGGGGGAAGCTGGTTTGTGCTACTGGTCGTGTGGGCTGAGCCTGAAGAAGCCCCCGACCCTGATCATGGCAGATGGTGTGGAGAGGAAAAGCAGGTGTCCAGGGCTGAACAGAGGGGTAGGCCTAGTTCTCCCCTGAGGTCCAGATGGCCCATTAGATCTAGGTCTAGGTCTCCTCCAAGGGGGGATTCCGCAGTATATCTCAGGGAATATGCAGGGGATATTTCCTCTCCCCCCAATGGTAGAACAGGGCCCCTATCTAAGGGATCCTTTTCAATGCAGGGGGGGGCAGAGCCACAGTGCAATTGGGTGAGACGGAGAGTGCCAAGTCAGGTGCCAAGGAAGGTGGCCTGGAAAAGAAGCCAGGAGGACCGAGTTTACTCAGCCTCCTCCAGCGAAGGAAGAGATCCCTGTCCTAAGTTGTTCTTAGAAGTAGTTAAGAAGCAGTGGGGAAAGCCAGGGACATTCCCTAACCCTAGCAGCAGTGATAGGAGATTCTTTAACATAGATCCTAGTTTTTCTGAGGCTTTGCAGGTGCCCACAATTGACTCTCCAGTGGTGGCATTGGCTTCCACGTCTACAGTGGTGTCCGGCGATGTGGCTGATTACCTGAAGACCAGTGACAAGAAGGCAGAGCTGACTCTTCGCAAAACATTCCAGTCTTCTGCATGGGCCATCAAGGCAGCCGCCTCAGTGTCGTTCTTCAGCCGCACGGCTATCCTTTGGCTCCAACAAATGCAGGAGCAGATTCCTCCAGAGGAGGTGCATACTCATCAGGATCTCAACAAGCTGCTTGCTGTTGCACAATTCTCTGCTGACGCCACTCTGCATGCCATGAAGTATGCCTCCCGGGCGATGGCATCCTCGGTGACCTCCCGGCGTCTCCTGTGGCTGCAAGGGTGGCAAGCTGAGAACAAGGCGAAATGGCATCTGGCCTCATCAACTTATTCCATGGATGCCTTTTCAGTGCCCCATTGGACCCGATCTTCGTTGAGGACAAAAATAAGAAGAAGGTCATGCCCACGCCTGC